TCAGGAGGAAACTCGAGTTCCTGGGACCAACAGTAATTTACAGTCCCCCAACTGATTTTAAACAGCTAACCAAGCTCTTCCTGCTCTGCCCTGCCCCCATGTTCTCCATATTTCTGGATTCCTCCCGTCTTCCCAAATAGAGGAGCAGCCACTATTGACAGTAACCACTATCAAATCGGAGCTTCGCTTCACCTACAAGATTCTTCACAACTTCACCCCGTCCTACAGATCTGCTACTTTTATGTTGATCCTCCCCTGTGCTCCAACAGCAATCCCCAGCATTGAGCATACAACTGTCTTCCTCTTCAACAAACTACCTCCATGCTGCCTCTAATGCAGGCATGATTCTGTTGAGGAATTAATCTGCATGGTCACCTCCCTTCCTACCACAATGTATACAAGATGCCAAGAACCCCAGTGATGGCCCACTGGGCAGGGACAGCAGAGTTAAGACCATTTGCTGTTTGGAAGCAGTAGTTCATTTATGCAGCTGCCCAAGCGTGTTCTCCTCACTCTTGCCCTCCCCTCCTCTCCCCACATTTACTCCAGGCAAATTCTAACATTAGCTATGTGAGGCAGGTGCCTGGCCCCGCCTCATGCATGAGGCCAGCACTGCCCAGGCGTGGGGAGCCAATGCAGCACAGTCTGTCAGGAAGGCCTGCTTCCCTGGCTCAGAGTTCCAGGAGTCTTAAACAAAATCCCAAGGATTACTTTGCATCCAGTTGCCATGGAGAAGTGGGCTTGGCAAGGATGCATTGGTCACAGCTGATCTACAAGTGCTGCTGTGCTGAGGTGGAGCTAAATCTCTTCCCAGGCAGTGCAGTGAACTGTCTGTATCCCTAGCATGGGACAGGAGCTGCATGCAGTGCCCTGCAGCCCAGGGCATTTGATCCACTTCCTGCAAAATCACAAGTAGCATTCCGCCTCCAGTGGACAAGAGCCCACAGCTGCATCAGTGACAATGCTATCAGGCAGTTTACTGAACAGAAGGAATCACATCCACAGCTAACATTTCATGGTCTGCCACTTTTTACTTACCAGCATCTCTCATCTAGTTTCTTGCCTTCTACACAAAATGGGAAAAGTCTGGGTCTATTGGCCTCTTTAGGGCTCTTCTGAAAGATCAAACTAAGTCCACTGAAAGTGCCTTCCAACTGTACACCACAGCCACTCCCAAGCTCTTAGAAGACCCACCCTAGACAAGTGCAGACTAAATACCACCTATTTGTGCATAACCTCTTAATAGACAAAAGGTGGCCAAGTTCTGACCCTAGGGCAAGCTGGAGACCAGCAACACAAAGGCACAAGCAAAGGAGTATCCAAAAACCCAGGTCTCCTATGCTTCATATTATTCAAGAGCAGGAATCCTCTGCTTGCATTCTGCCATGTACCCCCTCCAATTTCTCAGGTGCCATGTAACGAAGGGGGCAGAGGCCAGCAGTGAAAAGAAAGGCCAGTAGACTCTGCAGGATATGGGGCAGACAGAAGTACAGTCAGGGCCCGAGAGCATCATGAGTTGAAAATCTAGTTCTTTTTGTGCTTCCCTTGCACAGGGGACCCAAGCCTTCGGTATACTTAGGTTTCCTGTGCCTCTCTTGCTTCCCAGACTTCTGTACCTCTATTAGTCCCTAGAGCAATGATTCTCAACTTCAGTGCCACCAGCACCTTTGAAGGGTGCCTCCAAGGGTGAGCAAGGGTCTCTGGGTAGATGTGATATCTTTTTAGACCAAATAAATAGTCGGAAAAAAGTTCTTTGCAAGCAGAGAGGTGCGAGGATATAAGCAGATAAGGGCAGGCAGAGGCTCTCCCTGCCTGGGCAACCCCTTGCCCCCACTGCTGGGGCCCCTCTGCAAGGAGGTAAGCACAGCTATATATACATTTTTTTTTTTGGGTGCCACTCAATTTGCAAAGTTATAGAGGAGGCCTCGAGTCCGAAGAGGTTAAGAACCAGTGCCCCAGCGCTAGGCTTTGTTCAGTTCAGTGGAGGGAACAGGCTTCCTCTTCCTGCAGGTGGTGCTAGTCTGGTCAGTACTACAGTGCAGACCCGCAGGTGGTAAAACTACTGCTTTTAAAACAAAAGCAGTCTCCAATCCCAGGAGCAGGAAACAGCACAGTCAGCATTCCCCCACTGCAGCTTCCACGTGTTAGAGCCTGATGCCAAATGCAACAAAAGCAACGGGGAGCTTCCCTTAGCTTCAACAGGTGCAAGAGCAAGCCCCAGGCTGCACATCATCTCCCCCCACCTCAGCCCAGGCAAGTCCCAACCACTGACTACACCTGTACATTTGAGGACAGTTTACACAGCGTTCTGAATAGCCAGAGGCAGAGAGCCCACGCAGAAGGGAAAATGACAAAGAATCACGCTTAAGGAGTTACCAAGGTGCTGTTACAACATCTTTGCAGTCAAAGGAAACTCTTAGCCCACTGCTAGCTGTCACCACCTTGATGCAGTCTCTCACTTGACACCGTTGAAGGACACTGAAATTATCCAGACTGTGCTCTCTGCTTCTTCCTTACTGCAGACAGTCTTCAAAATGTTTCCTTTCCAACAACTCTGCACTGTAGCAACTCACTGGACCAGATGTGACTAACACTGCTCCTCCTGTCAGCAACTAGCGAATGATGCAGGCATTCATGCTGAAAAAGCTCCCAAGTCTTACCAACCCAGGACCCAAGCTTATTAGACTGGCCTCTTACTGCCTTGCCTTTCTGGAAATCACAATATATTCAGTGCAGGAGTGACATGTTCCTTAATAAACAACGGCACAGAATTCCATGGCTGACTACGAAGAGAAACACTTAAGCCTCTTCCAATCTTCAAAGCTAAATCCAGTGAAGGAAGAGCCTAGTCTTCAGATGCCTGGCATGGGACTCAATGGACTGGGAGTCTGGAAACAGCTGTTCCCATCAGGCTACCAAGCCCACTTGCACTGAGGGCCAAGCTGAAATGAATCTCCTCAGCGTAGACAAACACAGGGTGCTGCACCTTGGGAGAAGGAATCCACAGCGTACATACAGGCTGGGGAGTTCCAGTCTTGAAAGCACAGAGGCGGAAAGGAATCTCGGAGTCATTATTGACTCCAAGATGAACATGAGCCGCCAATGCCAGACCACAGCCAGCAAGGCCAGCCATACCTTGTCATGCAT